GCCCCCGAGCCCCATTCTGTCTCCTTAACAGTGGGGTGACTTGTTCATTCACTCCCACCCACCCACCCCAATCTGACAGTGAACTTTCGCCCTCTGGCTAAACAAGGGGCTTCCCTGAGCACAGGGTAAGGACACAGCTCTGCAGATGGGAGTGTCCTTTGGCTCTAGAATCTCTAGGGCTGGGGTCAGAACTCTGGCAGCTTCCAGAAACAGAGCAGGCACCTCGTAAATCTGCTCTCACTTCTCTACCTGTCAGGGGCGCCCAGGCAGGGGCAGGGCCTGCCCTGTTTGCCCTGTCCTGGCTTTATTCCTGTGGGGTGGAGCCTGGCCCCACTCCCAGACCTACTGCTACCTCACAGCCCCTAGGCGTGTGTGTACCCATCACCACACCTGCTGCTCTGTGCTCCTGCTGTTCAGGGGTTGGTTCCTCAAGAAAGTCAGACTCAGAAGAGGCCACCGGACTGCTATAGCTATGGTAAGGGCCCATGGTGTGGACAGCCAGACCCATGAGATCAGTGTAGGGGGCAACACTGGGTCAGGTGTGGGGCAGTGAGGAAGGCTGTGGGACCCCTTGATGTGGGCTTGAGGCTCAGGGGAGGGGCTGGGGTATTGAGAGCTGTGTGGGACAGGAAGGCCTGAGCAGGACTCCGAGCCTTTTACAGAGTTATCCGAGCCTCAGTGTTAGCTGCTGAAAATGAGGATAACATCACTTACTTTGCATCATCCTTGTAAGGCCTAAATAAGGTAGGAGGCAGGTTTGCTGACGGGTGGAAGTCTTGTCTCTAGGGCTCCATGCCCTGGGCAAGAGGCCACCCGCCGAACTGCTCTGGGGCCCCTGATGGGCCCCTTCCCTGCTGGACAGGCATGGGGGGAAAGCTGAGGCCCCATTTCCAGTCCTCCTTGGGCCACCTCCATTACAGCGCCCTTCTGCCAGAGCAGGGAACCAAGTTCTGTCTTCTCAGGCTCCATCCTTGGCCTCATTCACCCGCTTCCACCTAAGAATGGGTGCCATCCGCCCACCAAGCAGGAGGGTCAAGGGAGAGGAGAACAGGAGGCCCTGCACGTGGACCCTGGGCTCCCAATCCCCCCTGTGGTCTGATTGTCCCACTGCACTGACCCGCAGCGGACGGGGGCAGAGAAGCCGCAGCCTCAGCCTCTCTCCCTAAAAGTGGGGGCTCCGGGGGGAGTGGTGGGACAGCGGATGGAAACAGCACGGCCGGTGGCTGCCTCCGTGCTGAGGCCTGGCTGCTTTCCTGCACAGGTCCACGGACACAAAGGCTTCCAGTTCCAAAACTGGGCAAGAACGTACGGCTGCTGCCCCGAGATGTACTATCAGCCCGCGTCTGCAGAGGAGGTCCGAGAGGTGAGTGTCACCTCCACGCCACGCACAGGCCCTGGCCCCAGGAGGAGGCTGGAAATGGCTGGATCCCATCCCTAGCTCAGAACTGCCGGCCGGGGTGAGCTCCGCGAACTCCGCTAAAGCCAGGTCCACCTGTCGCCGCTACGACTTCCCAAGCCCTCTGCACTCCGCACAGTCGCTGGCCGGAGACCGCCCGCAGCACCTGCTGCGGGACCCCCAGACTCACACACGCACGCACGCGGACACCGGAAGGCTTTGCGGGGGCCAAGACTGCGATCGGGTTCGCACTGGAAAGTCTGGAGCCGCAGGGGGGAGGATGAACCCAAGCCACGCAGTACAACAGGAGGCCCCTTGGCCTTCTGCACCGGCCCTTCCAGGCACCTCTGAGTGGCCTGGTGCCTCAGTGAGCCCCCAGCGTCCCCTGTAGCCGGGCCAGGCCCCTGCGCACGCTCTGGACTCCCTGGAAAGGGCCTGACTCAGGTCATCCTGGAGCAGGTGCTGGCCCTGGCCAGACAGCAGAACAAGCGCGTGAAGGTGGTGGGCGGAGGCCACTCCCCCTCGGACATCGCCTGCACTGACGGCTTCATGATCCACATGGGCAAGATGAACCGGGTCCTCCAGGTACTGCAGCCCCCGCCCCAGAGCCCCCAAAGCAACAGCCTGCTTCTTGGGTTGCCCTTGACACCCCTCACCTGAACCCTGCCTCAAGTCAGGTCAGCCTGGCTCCCTCTCCTGTCAGAGCTTCCTCTCCACTTAACCACAAAAGAAGTGGCCAATCAGGGCCCCAAAGGGAGACGCACACTGACAAAGCCAGATGCGGGCAAAGCGACACTTGGCTAGTCTTACAGATGGAGAAAGGATCAGAGAGGTTCAATGACTTGCCCAAGGACCGGAAAGCTGGGCACAGGCCCATCTATAGCGGGGTTGCATCGGCGCAATCCAGCCAGCAGGGGCGCCTGCCAGCGACTCGGAAGGCAGGACAAAGGCGCCCCCGAGGGTCGGGTCTGGGTCTCACCTACCTGGCCTGCTGCACTGAGCTGTGATTTTTTTTCCCAGATGAACTCCCTTTCCCCCAGGCCAAGCGCAAGGCTCTGGGTCTTTTCGGGGTCAAAGGCTACCTCTTAGAGAACCTCAGTCATGGCCCTGATTTCCTCTGACTGCTAACGAGCGCAGCCTGGCAGCGACTGATTCCCGCGCTCCAGGTCTGCAGATGAGCTACGCCCCACAGTCAGACAGACAGACACACGCAGGGCCTGGGATCCCTTCCGCCCTCATCCAGCTCTGACCGTGCGAAGCGCAAACTTCCTACCGCCTGGGGCTGTGTCTACAACCTCAGGACACAGCAGCTCCCCACAGACCACCAGGCCGCGTGTCTGCCCTGCCCTCTCGATACCTAGCCTTTGCCGGGGGCTTCCGGGCTGAGAAAGAGACATGGAGCCCACAGCCCAGTCACGGGGTCTGAGGTGGGGCAGGGGCACCGGGGAGCCCCCTGCCCCCAGCAAGCTCTGGTCTCGCGCAGGTGGACACCCAGAAGAAGCAGGTGACGGTGGAGGCTGGCATCCTGTTGGCGGAGCTGCACCCGCAGCTGGACAGGCATGGCCTGGCCCTGCCCAAGTAAGGGATCCGCCCCTCCATCCCCCACTCCTAGGGAGCGGGGAGGAGCCCCTCTAGGATGCATCTCTTTCTCTGGGGCCCTCCTTGGGGTGCCTGTCTCCTTTTCCAAACGGGTTTGGGGCCTTAGGATGTGAATAGAAAGAAAAAGCCCTGAGCTGAGCTAAGCAGTAAGTAAATCTTGAACGTGGGTGATACCATCGTGGGTGAAGTCTTTCTAAGAAACTGCAGTAAATGGGGAGCAAAACACAAAGGCACACAAATTAAGTACAGAGAGGATGAGCCGCAGGGCTCCCTGGCTATCTAACCAGAGTTCCACTTAACCTTCCATCACTGGGTTCAGGATGATGGAGTTTCCATCGATGCAAAAGTCAAATGCAGCCAAAGGAATGAATTTCAACTATTAGAAAGGTGGCAGCTGTTTTGAACATTGGTTAATCAATGTCATTAGTGCTAGAAATGGAAGCCACGGTTGGTCCTCACTTGCGGGTGGTCTGCTCACCTCAGCTGTCTTACCATCAGCCTGAGACATCCCCACTGCCTTGCACCTTGGAAACCATCAGTTCTTACCTCCCTACCAGTTGTAGAAACTCACACACTTACGGTGGTCATGTGTCGTCCAGGTTCAGGCCCTGAAGACATAAAGACAGAAGAAGCCTAGACCTCAGTGGCAAGGAAGCCCCCACAGGGTCGACAGATGTAGGAACTGACCAGTGCAGCACAGGCAGTAGGTTCAGCAGCAGCAGAGGGTCCAGGGCAGACAAGAGAGTGAGAGAGGAAGAGGGGACTTCAGGCAGACAAAGCGGCAAGACCCAAAGCCAGGCGGGGGACGGGCAGCCCTGAATAAGCCGGGAGCAGGTGGAGGGGCAGAGCCTGATGAAGTTTCTTAGCATCTACAGGCCTTGGCCTTGGGCCGGAGCTCTGAGCCTGTGTGATGTCCCTGTCCCTCACCCACACGGCTGCCTGCAGGGCTGGAACCGTGACCCCATTAGCAGATGAGGAAACTGAGGGAGCGGGGCCACCCAAAGTCACACCCCTGGGTACCGTGTTGGGCCAGATGACGTGGGCACCAGGGCCATCACTAGAGGGGACCCAGACCTGGAGAAGGCGTCCCAAGGATGAGTCCTGCTGCTGCCTCATAGTGATTGTGGGTGACGTCCCTCAGCCCCTTGGGTGTTAAAGTCCTATTGGAAGCTGAGTCTATAGGTTGGGGTGCCCAGCAGGCCACAGGAGTCCAGGATGCTGCTCGTCCCATCATCAAGGAGCATCACCCAGTCCTTCTCCTAGACCTGGACCTGACCTTCCCCTTCAGTTATCGCCACCCTCTCTTCCTGTTCCCCGTCCCTGCCCCAGGCAAGGGCCTCCCTCTCGCCACCTCTTCTAGAGCCCTCCCAAGCACACCTCATACCCCTCTTCAGCCACTAAAGAAGCTGTTAGGCTAGATTAGCCATCCCTGTTTTGGGCCATTTGAGTCATTATAAATAACGCTGTGGTGAACATCTTCATGAAAGTACCTTCCTGCCCATGCACTGGAATATCTCTTAGAGCAGAATTTCTATGATCCTCTTCTTTTTTTTTGGTACCGGGGATCGAACTCCAGTCCTTATGCTTGCAAGTCAGGTGGTGGAAATACTGAGCTAAATCCCCAGCCCGATCCTCTTCTTTTTTGAGGGAAGCAGTGCTAGGGATGAACCCAGGGCTTTCCCACTGAGCTACATCCCCAAACTTTGTAAAAATTATTTTGTTTTGAAGCAGGATCTCATGAAGCTACTAACTTGCCCAGACACACACAGACACACACAGACACACACACATACACACACACACACACACACACACACACACACAGCACAGTCTCCTCTCAGGGGCCCTGTATACACAGCCAGCAGGTCCTTATTCTGGAGCCCCAAGTTGAGGGATGGGGGGCCCCAGACTCAACACAGGGCAGCTATTGTCCCCAGAAGCCTAACTGGTATCTGGTGTCCCTCTCCCTCGCTCTTGTGGAGCCCAGCCTGGGAGCTGTGTCAGATGTGACGGCAGCTGGCGTCATTGGCTCCGGGACGCACAACACCGGCATCAGGCATGGTATCTTGGCCACCCAGGTGAGTCCCTGGCTCCCTGACAGGGTGAGTGCAGCACCGTCCCCCTGCAGTGGACAGGGACAAGGCAGGTGTCCCCCAGGAGCCCCATTCCCTCCTGTGGTTGCTCTGATGGTTACCAAGGCCTCGCTCCCCTACATCTCTGGAGCCAAGATCTTGGGGGTTTTGGTGCTATCTTCACCCCCAGGTACCACTGGGCTCTCCGAGGAGGAGAGAGCAGTGTCCTCAGAGGACTTCACATTCATGGACTTCAGGCTTCTCCTGATACCACAGGAGGTAAAAGGTGCTGTGATCAAGAGGGCAGCTTCGGACGCAGGTGTCCCCTGGACTGAACCTGCAGCCACCATTGTGCCACTTTGTGGTCCTCTGTCTCTGTCTATCTCTGCCTTTCTCTCTCCCTACCCACCATACTCAGACACCCAGTAAGCCAGCAAGCAGTGAGCTAGGCTCTCATCCCAGATCTGAGTCCTGCCTGTGCTCTTAGCCTTTCCCCAAGTGCACCCTCCTGAAGATGAAGATACACTTTTCAATAAAGGCCAGCCAGGGATCTCAAACCTACTTCTGTGGGTTGCAGCAGGGGTCACCCCATCTCCTAGTTGGCACCAACCACTGGGGATGGACCCTTGCTTTGCCTGCCCCTTTGCCACTCCCCTGGTCACCTCAGTTTCTACACCATGATCAGCAGAGTCTGGAAATATGAGGCGTGGCCTACAAATATGGTGGATGTTTACATTTTTTAAAGCACACTATTTAAAAGTAATTGATTTATTAAAATAATTGCTTGTCATCAATCCCTCTCAAAGTCCTTGCCTTGCACCTCTCCCTTCGCTCCTGCCACTCCTGCAGCAGCTCTGGCTGTCCTCTTTGGTGAGTGTCTTTCGTTGCGCTGTTGTAGCTGCCTCGATGTCCGAAATGGAGTCAAAGTGTTCACCTTTGTGGTCAGTTTGACTTCGGGGAGGACCCAGAAGTCACATGGTGCCAGCCCCAGTGAGTGAGGTGAGGAGGACGCAGCACCTTTTTCCAGGTCTGCCTTTCTGTTCCATGGCACCCGGCAGCAGCATTGTCTGTATTTTAAAAATAATTTTATCGCGTTTCATAGAGACACTCGAAAGACTTTTGGAACTGCTTCAGGAAGCGTCAGGCATGAAGGGATGAGAGTGTTTGCAGTGTGTGTGCTGGGGCAGGTGTTCTGAGGAGGGTATCTGACAACAACCTTTTTTATTGTAATCAGTCTTTAAAATTGAAACATTCACTGCATATTTCTATCGCATCTAGTAATTCTGAGTGGCAGTTGATCAAAACCCTTGATTTTGCACCTCTGCGATGACACGGAACACTCACCCCTGGTGTCCACCGTGCCCCAGACAGCTAGCAGCGAGCTTGACACATCCTCAGTTGATTCTCACGGCTCCTGAGAGAGTTCGCTACCCTCCCGGCTTCACAGAGGAGGAAACAGAGAGGTTGGAGTACATGCCAAGGCCACACAGCCCTGAGAACAGTGCCCGCCCTTCAGGGACTCCAGATCCTAGTGAAGCACCACCCGGCCGGGCTCTCACTCCCTGTTCCGGATCAGGGGATCTGGCGTTTTTAGAAATCACGATGACAATCTCACTCCCGTGGCTGGTCACCGTGCCCGTTTCTGCCAGCTTCTCCTCTCTGGTCTCACTCAGGTCACTGTCAATCAGAATTAGGCTGGAGCTGTTCTCCTGCCCAGCGCTCCGGCCGCCAGTTACACATGTCAGGAGCAATTTCCCTCCAAACAGCAGGCAGCAGGCCGTGGAGACAACAAATGAGGCCAAGGGCAGCGCTAAGGCTGGAGGTCGGGTTCCAGCTGTGCATCTGACCGGGGCAGAAACCCTCGGGGTCCTCACCGGGGTGGCCAGCAGGGGGCGCCGGTTCCATAGAGGACTCGGAGGGGCCTAAATTTCCCGGACAGGCACGCGATGGGTCCCGGGTCTGAGTTGGGACAGCTGGGCTGGGCTGACCCAGAGGCTCCCGTCGCCGAGTCCTAAACCCCACCTCCAACTCTTTTCTTCCTTTTTCTTTTGCACTGGGATCGAACCCAGGACCTTGGCACAGCTGCATCCCGAGCCCACCCTTTTATTTTGAGACAGAGTCTGGCTTAGTGGCCCCGACAGGACTCAGACTTGCAGTATTCCTGCCTCAGCCCACCAGATGCTAGGATTACAGGCGTGTGCCCCCACAGCCGGCTCTGCCCTGGGCGATTTACAGCCCATCTGTCCGCAGTGCAGGGGCAGAACAAGGCCTCCTGACTGTGAGGCAGGTGTTCCCGGAGGACAAGCTCGGCCAGCAAGGTCCCTAGTCGCCTCCTCTGGGGTATCTGTGTCCAGGGGTCTGGGAACGGATGCTGCCCGAGCCCGAGTCTGAGTCTGGCTCCCCCTCCGCCAGGTGGTGGCGCTGACGCTGATGACAGCGGACGGGACTGTTCTCGAGTGCTCGGCGTCCAGCCACCCCGAGCTGTTCCAGGCGGCGCGCGTGCACCTGGGCTGTCTGGGTGTGGTCCTCACCGTCACCCTGCAGTGCGTGCGGCAATTCCACCTGCAGGAGACTTCCTTCCCCTCCACTCTGAAAGAGGTACTGGTCCCTCCGCCTCGGAGTGAGTTCAGCTTGTGCGGCCTTGAGCCCCTTCCTCAGCCTGGGGAGACACCAGACCCTAGGGCGGGGGTGGGGGAGAGGCGAGCGTGCGTGACTGTCCCCTGAGGGGGTCACTCTGGGCCTTAGGACACAGGGCTATCACCACGCCTTGGATCTGGGCCTCCAGGACTCGCCTGCTTGGAGGTGCTGGTTCTAGATGGGGGAACTGGGGTTAGGTCAACACAGGGATTTGAGGGGACACAGTCTAACAGGGGTCACCAGCCTCCCAGGAGGTGGGCAGGAAAAGCAGAGGCCTCACAGGACAGGAGGGTGGAGAGGCCATGCTGGAGTGGGCAGCCGGATAGCAGTGGACTCCAAGGAGAGGGAAGTATGTGGAATCACAGGTGCTGGGTGTCCACATGGGGGGCCTGGAGTCCAGAAGCAGGTTGGTAAGGGCCTTGCTGGCCTCGGTGAGACTGGGTCAGTGAGGACTGGGAAGACTAAGGGGTAAGTGGATGTCACAGGCCAGGAAGAGACAGCAGCAGTGGCCACTGCCCAGCACCCACGGTCCTGTCCAGCTGTTGAATCCTTTTTTCATGCCTCAGTGAGAACTTACTGGCTTTCAGGCTGAAGATTTTGACCTGGAGATCAAGGCATTGCATTTTTGCTGGAGAATTGACTTTGGCCAGCAGAGCTGGGCACTGGACAGTCCTCTACCACCCAGCCTGTCCTCTGCTCCTCTGCCGACCCGGCAGAGATTGCAGCCAAGTCCTGCTTCTACTTGAGCCTGATCTCGCGGGCTGCCTCCCCACCCCAGCATGCACAGCAGCTCACAGATATCCACACCTGTGCACACTTAGGTGCCTGCCATGCACACACACACATCAGCTGAACATCTTCCCAGGCTGCCGTCTCCAATGCAGGCCAGCGTGGAGACTTCTCACTTAGACGTGACAGCCTTGAAGACTCAGTGACTTTAAAGCAGTGGCACCGGTTCTTTTCAAAGCTTCCAATCGCTTTGACTGTGTGAGGACACATGAGAAATAGCAGCTGCAATCTCTGCCCCAAAAGACAAAACAGACAGGTGGACGCTTCACACAGACACACACACACAATCAGAAACTCTCCACAAGGTGGAGGCAGCCCACAAGCCTGGCTAGGCTGCTTCCTGAGTTTGACCTGATGAGTGCCTCAGACTCTTTGGGCTTCAGTTTTGTAGTCTTCAAAGTAAGCTTGTGCTTGAAGTTCCCCGAGGTCCCTCTGAGCTGACTTTGGAGCCAGCAAAACTGCTTCCTGCGCTCTCATTCCCACCCCCAGACAGAGGCTGTGCTGGCGGCACTTTTGCGCAGTCTGGAGCGGCCCGTGGAGGTCCTTGGTTTGAGCCCCTCCCACTCCTCTGTGACACCTGTCACTCTTCAAGGAAGCACTGTGTGTGTGGATCCTCTGGCCTCTCTGCTCCTCACACTTGGGGAGCCACCCTGCTGGGGGGTGGATTCTGGGTCCCCAGGCTGCATGCGCTGCTCACCCCTGTTTTGCTCACAGACATTGTCGCCACCTCTCAACCTTCACCCCTCCTCTTGCTGCTGTCCCGTCAGCTCAGGAGGGCAGAGATCAACGGGCAGCTTTGCACCCAGCTTCTCCGAGGCACATAGCAGTGTTCAGTCCAGGGTCGTGATGCTCAGCTGGACAAGAATGGATTCAGAGCCCCATCCTTTTCTGAGATTTTCTCTGCCTCCTCCCACCCAGCCCACACGGGGTCCGTCTCAGATCCAGTCCTGTGCTCCCCAATACTGGTTCTCTTAAAGACATACTATCTGAATGCTACTCAAAGCCCAAGAGAGGGAAGGGGTCTTCTCGGGCCCTAAAGAGCTGGAATCGGTGCTTTGGGACTGACGGGAGGATGAAATCAGATCTCAGGTTCCTGTTTACAAACACCACGCTGAGCCCGCATTTGCCTGCGTCATTGTATGACAACAGCGATGCTGATTCTATGGCCTGGTTAGTACACAGTCAAGCCAGGTAGAAGATGTGGAAACTTTACACATTTCTCGCCCTTTTGCCCTTTATGCCAGCCAAGCCATAATGTGTGCAGCTGGCTGCCTGCGTCACCTCCCCGTCCCCGAGGAGCAGGATTGGTCCCGGTGACACACTGGCTTCATTGTGCTGAAGCTCCTCATCCTCTTGGGTGGCCACCTGCTGGCAACTCTCCCAGCCAGAGACATGAAGCCCCTGCTTTGGCCCACAAGCCTGGTAACCAGTTCTCAAAAACCATTTCATTAGCACCGTGACTCCAATTTGAAGGACACCCCCCACCCCAGGGCTCTTCAGTGAATAACACACCAAAGAAGCAGCTGCTGTGTGGCCAGACCCCTTTGATGGTGCTCCCAGGGGACACGGGTCAGACCAAGGACATCCATGACCCCAGGGACCACCATTCTCCAGATAGGACAGTCTCTGAGCCCTGACGGGAGAAGGGCCCAGGCTGATTCCACCACTCAGTAACCCTCAGTGCTGGGTGAGCACTGCAGGGGTACCGTACCAAATCCTGCTCAAGGTCCGTCCTGGATCGTGGAGCCATCCCGGATGGGAGGCTGGAGTCACCTCTCCCTGGAACCAGAGTCAGGAGGAGGGCGCTGTGACACTGACTGCCGGGACTGTGGACTTCGATCCAGAATTTACCCCAGGGCCGGTGCTCTTCTCAATCCCACGGCTTCCTGTCAACCCCAAATCTATCTCTGCTTTGGCTCCAAACTTGTCCTGAATCTGCTTGATGGGTTTCAGGGAGACCAGCTTTGCTCAGTGATGCTATCTCAGTGTGGGCAGGACAGAGCGAGAGTAGGGCAGGGCTCTCCTGCTCATTTCACTGATTAATACTAAGCATTTGATGATGACGATGATGATGACAGCGACGGTGACAGCAACAGAACAGTAGCAGTACTAGAAGCAGTGGTTTATGCCTGTATGGTGCTTACCGTGTACCTGGTGCCATTTTTAAGGACTTTCAAGCCATGAGCTCATTCAATCTTCATAGCAATCCTGGGGTAGGTATTATTAGCTCCAGATAAAGAACTCGAGGCACAGAGGTGTGAGGTAACTTCCCCAACTTGTGTAGCTAGTAACTACTCCAGAAAGGACAAATAAGAAATCGCTGTGTCCTCCACACACCTAGGGAAGTGAACATGTAAGTGGACCATTTTAATGCCCTGTATATTTAACCACTCATTCTTTGCCATTTGGCAATGTTAGGACAATTTTAAATTTTTTTGTTTTGGCTTTTTTTTTTTTTTTTCGGTGAAGAGAAATTGAGGCAAACCTGGGCCTCAACTACCAGCGTCCTCCACCATCGTGACCAACACAATCTCTCCACTTTCCTCTTGCCTGGCCAGGTCCTCGACAACCTGGACAGCCATCTGAAGAGGTCCGAGTACTTCCGCTTCCTGTGGTTCCCACACAGCGAGAATGTCAGTGTCATCTACCAGGACCACACCAACAAGGTAGGCACAGTGGTGTGGCCAACCTCGCTCAGCGTCTGGGAGCGGGTGGTGGCTGGTGATACACCCACAGTCCCCACACCCTGCTGGCTCCCAGAGCGGCTGGCCAAGCCTCGCTGTGGTGAGGGTCAGTGTGGTAGGAACGTCACTGAGAATGAGGAAAGAGGCATTCGGGCCAGAGGGCAGAGAGAAGGTGGCCAATAGGCACCCCTGTGTGCCTCAGGCGGGGACGTGTACGGGTGTGGCCAAGGGATAAGCCAGTGTAAAGGGAGGTGTCATCTGTCCCAGTAGGTGGGTTGCCCCTCTTCTCCTTCCTCCCCCCGCATGAAGCCACACCTGGAACACATCTCTGTCCAATGACATCAGGATGCGTACATCAGAGACAGCTCAGCCCTCACTGACGGTGCAGAACTGATGACAGATTTTCCTTCCCAGCCCCCCTCGTCCTCAGGCAACTGGTTTTGGGACTATGCCGTTGGATTTTACTTACTGGAGTTCCTGCTCTGGATGAGGTAGGAGTGTGATGGTCGGTTTCCCAGCATGTGCCGTGTGCTGTTGAGGTGGTGGTCACCAGAGAAAAACACCCTGCCCGTATGCATGCAAGTTGGGTCTGCTTCCTGGGACTGGGGCAGTGGTTTGCACCTGCGCTGCACATGTGAATTACCTGGGGAGCAGCGTTCATCTTAAGGGCAGTGGAATCACTAGAAGGGTTTGAAGGAGGGGATGCTATAAAATAGCCACCCAGTTGCTGAAAGTAAATGGATTGGAGGGAATGAGGGGTGGGTGGTGGCAGCAGGAGCCCACCTGAAATGATGCTGTGATGCAGAAGGTTCAGTGGAGATGAAGAGGGAGGCAGGCAGGCAGGGAGGGAGGGATGGATGGATGGATGGATGGATGGATGGATTGGTGGGTGGATGGGTAGATGGGTGGGTGGAAAGGTGGATGGATGGATGGATGGATGGAAGGACAGATGGATGGATTAGTAGGTGGGTGGATGGATGGTTCAGTGAATATTTAGAAGTGTCCATGCTGAAGAACAAATAAATATCAGTAAGCCTGGTCATGAATGAGATCGTTCTCCAGGCTACTTCAGCACGGTGATTCTGGAACAACCCTCTGTGGGTGACTTCCAGTGTGAGCAGCCCCACAGTACTGGGGCTATAAATTTATTCCCTGTAGCCCATGGCTGGGAGCAGGTAGCATAACTATGTCATAAAATAGGTGCCACGTGGAACACATACTCATCTGGACACTTTATTCTGGGTCAGCTCTCCAATAGCAAGGGACAAGCAAACATGAATTCTCAGTCCTGGAATTGCATTTGATCACTTCTGGGGTGTTGGCCTCTCCCTTCCTCTGGGGAGCCTTCCCTACTTGTTTCCAGACCAACTGAGGAGTCTCTCTCTGGCTCCCACAGTCCTCCACACATACCTCCGGGTGTGTCTCACCCCGGGCAGCGTCTCAGGGGTGCTGCCTGAATCTGATTCGTCACTGTAGTCGGGTGTCTGGCATCTGACACAGGAGACCCAATCCAGGCCATGGCACCTCCTGACTAACGGTTATTGGAAGCTTCATTAGGGTTTAATTCTCGTGCCAGACAGTCCCCCTCTACAGGTGCACAAACCAGGGGCTCTTTGTGTATTCACAGAGTTGAGCGACCATGCTCTCCATCTGTGGTGGAACAATTCCGTGGCTCCAGAAAAGAAACCGTGGACCCTTCTCATGAGCCACTTCTCATTGTCCCTCCCTCTGCCCCGGAAATCACTAATCTACTTTCTATAGATTTCCCTATTCTGCGCATTTCGTGTGGCTGGAATTAGGCAATATGTGACCTTGCAGTTTTTGCTTTGCATCCTGTTCCCAGGTTATTTGTGTTGTAGCAGTTGTCAATCCTTCGTTCCTTTTTTATGGCCAAATAATATTCCATTGTGTGGCTAAACTATATCAATTATTCAGCAAATGCGCATTTTGAGTTGTTTGTACTTTTTGACAATTCTGCATAATACATAATTTGGCTGTGACTATTAATGTATAACTTCGTATTCAGACAGATGTTTTCACTTCTTTGGGCATTTGCCCAAGAGTGGAGTTGCTGAGTCATATGGTAATTTTATGCCTTTTGGGAAACTGACAAAGAGTTTTAAAGAGGACGTGTGCCAATTTAAAATTCCACTAGCATTTTATGAGGGTTCCAATTTCTTCTCATCTTAACAAAGCTTATTGTTAACTGTTTTTCCCATTAAGCCATCCTACCAGGTTTGAAGGGGTAAGTGGTGGTTTCCACTAGAATCTCCCTGATGACTAAGGATGGCAAGGATTTTCAAGTACTTAGGACCATTTGGGTATCTTCTTTGTAAAAATGTCTATTCGGATTTCCCCCATTTTTATTTGTTTTGTTTTTACAGTATTTGGGAGTGAACACAAGGTCTTCACACAAAGCTATATCCCCAGCCATTTTCATTCTGTTTTCGTTTTTGTTTAAACCTGAGACAGGGTCTGGCTAATCTCTCCAGGCTAGGCTTGAACTTTAATTCTTCTGGCTTCTCCTCCCAGAGTGCTGTGGTATGTGCCACCATACCTGGCTTTTTTGCCATTTCTAAAATTTACAAGTTGGGTTGTCTTTTTATCACAGAATTGGAAGAATTCTAATTCTAAATAGCAGTCTCTTATCAGATGAATGATTTGTAAGTATTTTCTCCCATTCTGTGATCTGTCTCTACTAATTTATCCTCTTTTTTTTTTTCTTTTGTTGCTTCTGCTTAAAGATCACAAAGATTTTCTTCTAAGTGTTTTATAGCTTTTAGTTCCAGGGTAGTTTTACCTCTTTTGCTACTTTTATCATTGTGTATGGTTTGAAGAAGAAGTCCAACTTTCTCCTTTTGCTTGTGAATATTCGGTTGTCCCAGCACCATTTGATGAAAGGGCTATTCTTTCCCCCACTAAATTGTCTTTATATTCTTGTCAAAAATCAATGGACAAAAAATGTTTAAAGGTATATTTCTAGACTCTCAATTCTACTCTACCATCCATATGTCAGTCTTTAACCCAGTATTGCACTGTCTTGATTCCTGTAGCTTCCTAGTAAGTTTTGAAAGTGCAAGTGGATCTTAATCCACACTCTTTACCATCTTCCTCTCTTGTTCTGCCAGCCTTGGGGCAAAGGTCAGCCTTTCCTCCAAGGGTTTCTACTTCCTCTAAATCTCTCCCTTGTGGACCTGATGAGCTTCTGCTTAGCTCTCCTTGAACAGCTCAAACTTCTGTCCTTCAATGAGCTCTTCACATGAGTTACTTGCTCTCTGTGGTCCTCTCCTTTATAGCAAAGCATAAAGTCACTCACTTCATGGTAGCTCTAGGCCACTGATGGTGAACCTTTTAGAGCTTTCGATGATAACAAACATCCCACTGCAGCATACATACCATAGGTTCACCGGCACTGTCCTAGGCCTTCAGGCCAGCTACTCCTAGGCATCCAGAGGGCCCCTTAGTGTTCATATCACCAGCACAAAGCACAGGGCAGATGTCCAGCTCCTGTGTAGATGAATAAGACTCAGGCTGGGAGGAACTTCCAAACTTCCCTGACCAGACAGAGTGGGATTAACAGATGTAGTTAGCTCTGGAATTGAGAATAATAATGGAAAAATATAGAGAGAACCATTTCTTTGGGGCACTGTCCAAGTGCTGTGCTCAGGATTCAGTGTAAAGCTAAGATTTTAAAAGGCAAGAGATGATTCAAGCTCAAGCCCTAGACTGGACACATCACAGTCCTGCTGCCTTGGTTGGTTCAAGGTACTCACTGCTACTTGGCCCAAAAAAATTGAGCCCAAGTGTCCACCAGTATTTTTCATATAAATCCAACTAATAGACTTCTGTAGATGATAATTCACTTTACAGTTTGTGAGGAGATGCAGCTACCACATCCTCACCCAGAGGCCTAATATAATGCATGATCTTGGGCTTCTTCGAGTTGCCATTCTAAAGGAAAGGTGGGGTCAAAGGTAATAGGTTAAGGGATCAGGTCCAGGCTCTGGTCCTCTCCTGCTGCTCTAGAGCTTCCCTCCTCCTCTACAGACTAGATGCTGCCAGCTCAGACTGTGCAAAACCATGAGCCTATATCCAGCCCTAAGTGTCTGACACCAGTGGATGAGAACATCTCATCATTTCCTTCTCTGTCGAGAGCCAGTGTATACAATTTAGGGGAAAAATTATTTCTCAATTAAATTACGATTAGGGCTGTCTGAGGCCTCAATAGTCCTGTGACGCTGTGGTGTTCAAGGGCAAGATGACATCAGCTGAAGACATATTGGTTCTTTGAGAACCGGGTAGTAGTACAAAAAGGGAAAGGCTTCATCTGGGTTGGGACAAATCCCTTATCATTTTAACTCACCCATCTACTGTTATTTTGTTCATCTCCGTCTTAATCGGTTTAAACTTCTCATCCACCTAAGATCCTTTTCAGCATAAGATTCTTATCATCATGGGATTACCGCCACCCTGTGAGACATCTGATATTTCCTCCAATTATGAAATCCTTGTCAGTTTAGGATTGCCTCCACCCTCTGAGTCATCTGATACTCCCTATGAGCCCAATAAATAGTAGCAAACTCAGGATGTCTTTGCTTTTGCTGCTCAGAGCTGCACAGATCAGGCCCGAATGCAGCTTTTTGTCTAAGTCTCGTTTCTTGTCTTTATTCTTATCAGTTTTGTACTGTAGTGGCTCACAGGAGACCAGGACCCACTGCAGGGGTTCTGGTAATGTCCCCTTTCCTGTTCCCTGCACTTCTCACCCTGTCAGCTCAGGTTGCAAGTGCCCATTCATTCTTCCATGCCTCCCTGAGTGGGCAGCAGCTACCTTCAGCAGGAAAGGGCAGCAATTTTCTGAGCATTTATTATATTCTGGGCACACCCCTAGGCACTCCATATGAGTGACACCATGTAGTTTTTGCTACATCCCTAGAAGTTGACACTTCATCCTTGGTTTGTAATTGAGGGCAATGATGAGTCACTGGAATGGGTTCCCTGGCCTCACTGGCTCCACCAGTAGCCCAGGCTGGGCTATAACACTTTCTCCAAGGTCAAACAGCCCAGGCAGGAGAGGCTGGTGTTTGTAGCAGTTCTGAATCTAGGTTGGGTCTGGATCCAGGAATTAGGGTAGTTCTGCCCATTTTCTGTGGTGGATAGGCCTGTCCTCAGGTTAGGGATGCTGCAGGTAGCATGGGGGGCCCCACATGCAGGGCCAGTCACCAAACCATGAAGATGAATACTTGCCTAGAAGGTCCCAGGAAGTGAAATGCAGCAAGCAACTTTTCAGATCTGGGCAGTAAAGGACCAAGGAGCATGAGGAGCACCCAGCCTGAAGGCCACAGCTCCATCAATATGATGGATTCGGAAGAGAGTGTGGCTTTCTCTCCAGGCCTCAGCTTCCATCTTCTCAGCAGGACAGCTTTAACTGTGTGTGCTGGAGCCCGAGCTCAGGCCACATACAAATAAATTGGGCTCTAAATCTTAGCTACGGTCAGAAGCTCCAGGAAACCTCTGGGCCTCTGAGCCCAGCCCATGTGGTCACTGCTTGTTTGGGGCACCATTCATCTCCTGGCAGGGAGACCACTGGCTCTGTGACCTGCTTTCCAGGGTTCCAGGGGGAGCATTTAGTTCCCAGATAAAGAGAAAAAGGAAGCATGTATGTGTACAGATACAGATTTTGCAGATTGTGATGTGAATGAATTTTCTAGAACAAAAAACCAGGTAACAGTTCCTGCCATGGCCCCAGAACCACAAAGCCCTTCCTCCATAGTTACCTAGGCAACTCTAGCAATGTTTTGGGGGACAAGGATCTGAGACCAAAGACCCCATGCCAGGATACTGGTCTCACAGGCCACCTAATCCTTACAGCAATACAGGTGTCCCAGGATGTAGGAGGGAGGCGAATACCACAATTTTCAGGGCAATGCATCTGACGACAACCTGCTGAAATTAGAAGGCGCTTGCCCTTGGTCCCAGTGAGCTGCTGAGATTTGGGGACAATGACATCCGTTTTAGCATGGCCTGAGGTGACGAGACCGAGAGCAATGCAGACAGCCACTAATGGGTGAAGGTGCATCAGAGCAGCATGTGCAATGCCCCCGACTCTCATGCAGCTATCGGAAGAAGGGTGTAGATCCATCTTAGTGCCACCCTGAGGGATTTCCAAGATCTAGGCAGTGACAGAGGCCACGTGCGTGTGGCGAGCAAGGCTTATCCCGGCACCGGGTGGTGATGATGGCGCTGCCGTCCCTTTTCTCTGTCCCCGCAGCACCTTCCTGCCATGCCTCGTGGGCTGGATCAACCGCTTCTTCTTTTGGCTGCTGTTCAACCGCAAGAAGGAGAGCAGTGACGTCAGCCACAAGATTTTCACCTACGAGTGCCGCTTCAAGCAGCACGTCCAGGACTGGGCCATTCCCAGGTAGGGCCCCTGCCAGGCGGCCGTGGGATTGAGCCCCGTGGTGAGCCCCGTGGGAGCCGCGGGAGGGTCCCGCCCAGAGGTCCAGATCGTGTCCCTGCGCGGAGTGCAGAGAGAAGACCAAGGAGGCCCTGCTGGAGCTGAAGAGCACGCTGGAAGCCCAGCCCCAGGTGATGGCTCACTACCCCGTGGAGGTGCGCTTCACCCGGGGGGACGACATCCTGCTGAGCCCCTGCTTCCAGAGGGACAGCTGCTACATGAACATCATCATGTACAGGTGATGGGCTCCCCGCGAGGGCACAGGACGCCCGCCCTGGGGTTTAGAAGGACCCCTCTGCTTCCCACCTCTGATGCCATCTTCTCTAGGGAACTTGCTGGTCCTGGTAGCCAGAAACCAGTCTCCCTCCGTCCCTCTCTCAACAATGCTGAGGACTGAACCCAAGGCCTTTTCAGGTCTAAGCTGCCCCAGCTGGGCTCCAACTTGCAATCCTTTTGCTTCGGCTTCCCAGAGAGCTGGGATCCTAGTGTGCACCACCACACCCAGCAACACTTCCACTCCACAGACCTACAACACACCCCAGCTCTTCCCTATGTTGTGCTGGTGTAATTTTAATATCACTCATGACCGTATTCATTGGGAATTAGCCGCTATTTTTGAAGTATGACGAATATGGCCTATCTCATGTGTCCGTGCCAGTCGGCGACTGTGAGGTTGGGAAGGACTCTGCTGCTGGTGCTGTTCAGCAGGAGAGAGGCTCCTGCTCCAAGCCAGGGGCCTGGTGGGCACCTTTGCCCACGATGACAGCTCTGCCAGGCACAGCCGTGGCTGCGGCATCATCTTCTCCTCTGGTCAGCGGGCTGCAGGATGGCGCTGCTGTGCCTGGGTAGCTGAAATTCATATTTCCTGAAATTCCACGCCACACAGACGTGCCCTGCTTCTGCCTCCCCTCCTCCCCTCCTCCATTGCAGCCCCTCTTAGACTTTGCTAAAGAACAGCATCCCCTGTCTGTCCTGAATCTCACCAGGGGGCTTTCCTGCAGCCCATGGGGTCCCAACCTGCCGGGGAGGGGAGGTTCAGAAAGCCTGAAGAGGGGGCTTCCTGGAGATCCCCTGGAGGGGCTGTGGCGTGCTCCCTAGGGGACAGGCTCTCCTGCCTGTGTGTCTCTATCTTCTCCCTCTGTGCAAATTCTAAGTCAGAAATGAGAACATCGGGGGGGGTGCATCTCAACATGCTCGTGTGGTTTTTTAAAAATGGGGTCAGTGCCCCTGGACGTGGTGGTGCACGCCTGTGATCCCAGTGCTCCAGGGGGCAGAGACAGGAGCACTGTAAGTTCAAGGCCAGCCTGGGAAATTTAGCAAGACTCTGTCTCCAAGTAAATAAGTGAAAAGGGCTGGGGAAAGGCAATAGTCCCTCAGGTCAGTCTTGAGTAGAAAAGAGAGAGAGAGAGAGAGAGAGAGAGAGAGAGAGAGAGAGAGAGAGAGAGG